CAGCGAGGGGGGCCCACAGGTGGCGCGAGGAGTCGCTTCAACGAAACTCCGTGAGATGGCTTCATTCATTGGGGGGTTCAAGATCACGTGGTACACACGAACATAAGGGGGCGTGTTATTCCGTTTTTTAACTTCGGGGGGGGGATTATTATAAAACATTATCTATTGCAATGAACTGATTTACTAATGGCCCCTGGGTAAAAAGTCCAGTGGTTATTGTGTACGTATTAATATTATCAGTTGGGGTATCTCTCTACGAACGAATATGTGAAAAACAACAAGGGAACTTTGGCCGTCAGTACATACACGTGACAGCCTTGCCTCCCGCACTTAGTGCTCGACCTTCTGTCTAGAAATACTCGTAATATTTGTGAACACTCCTTAATTTGCTTTGCTTCATGCGTTAATATTATTCCTACAAATTTACCTTTGATTTGCATAAATTATTTTATATGTTTGTGAAGATCTCTTACTGAAAGAGTAGGTAGTGTTTCAGTGTAAAATAAAAAATTGTTCAAAAGCGAGATCGGAAAATCTGACAGAACAAGGCTTCTCGGGTGTCCAAGGAATATATGGTAAACTACTAGGACTACACACAGTCAACAAAAACGTTCCAAAAAAAAGCTCTAGATCTTAAATGACATATCAGTTTTTATTTTACAATAAGTCGCCTCTAACAAAATTTAGCAATTTTGATTTGAGCTGAAAAGCAAAGGCTTATATTTAATGGATATGAACGGAAATAAAATTCGCTCCACAGTACGAAATTCGTGATAAGAACGCTTATAACACTGGCGCGAAATATCTACATGCAACAGCGAACATTCCACAGATCGCCTGCGAAGTTGTAATTAGGCTACCTGCAAGCACCCTTTTGGACAAGTCTAGTCCACACATATTTCGAAACAAGTTGAGGAAGAGGACGGCGATGGATCCATTTGCGAATGATGTTGCCATAATGACATCTCGGGACGTGAAACGTACAGAGATCTCCATGACCCCCACTGGTACGATCTTCGTGCCCAGTGTCACGCAACCTGGCATCACTTTGCGAGCTCTGAAGGCGAGGAAAAGCACATTAATACAGGATGAGGTATGCAATATTTGATGCCACAATGGAGCCAGATGTAAACTACGCATCGAATTGCTACTGCTGCTGTACGTAATTTACAGTATGTTGTTAAACGACGCCGTATCAATTATAAATATTATTGGCGTCTAATGTCATGATGAATTATGAGTACATCAGGATTCAGAGGGGACAGTCTCGCTAACCACTGTAGGATTCGCCTGACAACCACGTAGAAAATAAGCCAGTCCGACCGGTAGCAGGATTCGAACTGGGAACATCCCGAATCCAGGTTACCGCTACACCACAGTGCTCGGAAGTTCGGGCGACAAGGTTCTCGTTTTCAGGAGGAACAATACCAAGACCAACAACACACAACAATAGATCTACAAGAAGACTAGTGAAGACATGGACGAGAAGAGCGATTTGACATCACAGTACAACGAAAAACGTAAATACATATTCATGAAGCTGTTATCAAATTTTGATAAACATATTGTGTTTTGCCATTTTAAATGCAACACATCAGCATAGGCCATACACAATAATATAATGCAACAGCTTACGTAAACAGACCAATGTGAAGCAAACTTGAAAAAGTCAAAGTGATAGTCGAAACACGTAGTTCTAAGTGACTTAAGGAAATGGTGCAATATTACAATAATGTAATTGCAATAAACACTGCTTTAAGTTGTTTAGAAGAATTCAAGGTGTAATAGAACTATAACTAAGCGCATTTAACTTGCTGCTAAATCCTGAGACTCTCTTAATATTTCTTCTGCTGCAGAAGAGCGGATAGGCAAGTCGTTAGCTTACACAACAATTTCCTCACCGCTGTTACGTGGCTTACACGTGTTGTGTAACCTGTATAATAATTATTTGATAATCGCGCGAGGACACGGACCTGTCATCCATTCAACAACAAATTTCAAACGAACTCGACTATGTAACCTCTTTTGCGGAAAGAAAGTGAACATTGATTCGATTAGGGTAGCGGAAACTTTCCAGGTGAGTGGGAAGTGATGCGCGATTTTAAATTTCGGATGAGGTTAAGCAACGGTTTTTATTACACGCACGCACGCCATAAAATCACAATTTACAAAAGTGCAGAATTGCTAGCGTGCCATTAAACAGCGCAGCATTTCATGGAGTAAATTACGCTGATTTGTTTTTTTTATATATATATAACAACAGAACCAAATGAACATATAAATGATACACGAGAAACAGTAGGTGACCGAAAACTGGCCGAATGTCACATTGCTTATTCACAGTGACACATTAATCTTTAAATATGATGTGTGTCAACGCATGGTTCATTTATACAAGCCCTAGACCCTTGCCCAGTTGCTTGAGTATCTCATTCCGAAGTTCACAGTCCTACAAACAGGTACAAAACTCAGCCTTAAAATGGTCACACTGGGTTTATAGTCTATCATTAGATATCGTTTTCCTAGCCAACAATAGCGGACGTTACGAACAGCCAAGAAAGGTGTAAGATTTGAGGTTTTCACAGCGGTGAGTATGAAGATTTCTGTCTTCTGGGTTATTGCGCTGTGTAGTCTGGTCGATGTTAACCAACGTTTCAGAGGTCATACTGCCTCCGTCATCAGGGCGATTCTTTCTAAGTTATCTACGCTATGAAGATTTCTGTCTTCTGGGTTATTGCGCTGTGTAGTCTGGTCGATGTTAACCAACGTTTCAGAGGTCATACTGCCTCCGTCATCAGGGCGATTCTTTCTAAGTTATCTACGCTATGAAGATTTCTGTCTTCTGGGTTATTGCGCTGTGTAGTCTGGTCGATGTTAACCAACGTTTCAGAGGTCATACTGCCTCCGTCATCAGGGCGATTCAACCCAGAAGACAGAAATCTTCAGCCAAGAAAGGTGCTACCAGGCCACCAAAACTGGAAGAATACAACATCACATCGGCATAAAAATTACATTAAAATACGTCATCATTGTGGTGCAATTGTTGGGAGAACTTTTAATAACCCTAAATTCCCGCACAGGATTCGCCACTTGTCTCCAGCAGAGCGAAACGTAGGTTTTTACACCGGATAACGTCTAAGAAGACTTCATGGCAACTTCGCGCGTAATAGTCATATTACATAAGGCTTCTATATTTTATGAAGCTAATATCGAACTTCATCAATTTGCTCAACACCTGCTCATATTTGAAAAAGACTGCATGAAATAAGCTCACGAAGGACGACAACTTTTATTTGCACAACTTTTCGTTGATGCCATATTCAAATAAAAGGAAGTATAACCAGTTGTCGTCTAGCCAGAATTCGATTGGCTTTACACGCAATACGTGAATAATTGGGTTGGTTCTGCAACAGAAACACTGTCAGTAAACCTCGGAAAGTGTGGCCACTCCGAAGCATCAGCCTTCCGACTTCATGAGCGAATTTCCACAACTCTTCATTGCCTGGAAGAACTGCTAGAAATCATTTTACGAAAGTAATTCCAGCGCTGTCACAATGTTGCACGGTATATCTTCATGCGGTTCAAGTTATACTTTTAATTTAGGGAATATTAACAAGTCACACAGTTCGAAATTATACGAGCAAATTAGTACCAATGCGCTTTGCGATTCCAACTGTAATACGTCGTTCATATTACGAAAACACTTTTTTTCGCGAATGCTGCCATTTCAAATGCATGTGATCCATCCATATTTGTATTATGAACATTAATCTTAGGGTTCAACTTCATTTGCCAGTTTTGAAGTTCGGATACCGCTTCGGCCATCGACCTGTCCTCTACACAGCGTGTGTCCTGCACAGATCCTTTGAGTTTTTAGTGCTGAAACTATACGAGTGCGTCACCACTGTGCACGTTAACTAAACAAACCCCTCCAATAAATCCAATTAACGGTGGAGCATCAACAAGCCCCATCTGTCATCAGCTCGGCCCTTTAAATGCGAGAGGAACTCACCACAGGATGCAAGACACATGGTAAGCACAACAGTGACCTAAGCAGCACATCATTCTCGACACTGTCCCGTCATGTGTAGACAGGATGCAATGTTTCTTTTAACCCATGACGGTCCGCGCAAGAGATTACTATTAATATTAATATCATCATCATCGTTTTACATTAAGTGATTCCAAAGCTACTTATCAAACAGATATTCCTTCGTTCTTATCTTAAGAAAGTTTTCTTTTCACTTGCCTGTGTTGTTAGGAGTACACAAAGGCTTTACCCTAGGACCTCTTTTGTTTAATACTTTTATTAACTAGATTTCTAATAAAATTAATCATTCCAGATTTATCTTATTTACCAGCAATCTGAAAATGTAAATACTGAAAACAGTATGAAACGTAATCTTCAGAAAACTAAAATAGTGCCTTTCACACATAAGCGAAGCTATTAAAGCGATGATTGTACATATAACTTTCTTTCATCCAAACACTGACGTACTTGAAGCACATGATTCGTATGGTTAGCACTGATTTAAAAAAAAATGGACAGCGCAAATGGTAAGTTGAGCAATGGTGGTCTTATCGCAAGAATGAACAATCAGTACAAATTGACCCCCGTACAGTTAAACCCAATTACTGCGTACATATTGGATTTAAAAGAAGCGACAAAACGATAAGCTCACGTTTGTTACTCTCCAAGCCAAGATTTAGTGTCACTCTCCCCCCCCCCCCCCCCC